AGTAACTAATTATTTAGTACCAAATGTGTAGCGTATCGTAAATTAATAAATAAATTAATAAATTTTTTTAATAAACTAAAATTTTAAGTTTTACATTGAGCCAAAAAGCGTTCGGAGACTTTTGGCGGGGTCTGTATATTAATGATCATGGTTAGTATATAGAATAGTTTATATGAACGAATACTGGCAGGCATTAATAAATTTTACAAAATAGTTATTTATTGATATTAAATGATTAAAAGAAATATTAATCTTCAAAATATTAGTTTACATCTATTAAAGGAGTACATTTTTAATTATGAATTAAAATAAAAGAAAAAATTAAAACTAAAAGGAATCAAGTTATTTAATAGAGAAAATTGATGTAATAATGAGAGAGTTATTTCATCGTTGATAAGAAGTTTTTATAATAATAAAAAAAGTGTGATTCAATAAAATTATTTATCCTATAATGCAAAAGTTACAAATTTTGCTTAGTAAATTTAAATGTTTTATACATAGCAGATATGGTTATGTAAAACGCAATATTAAAAAATTGTTTTGATTTAAATAAAATTAAAATCTAAAAAAAGGGTTATTAATTAAAAATATTAGATAATAAAAGGAAGACTTCCCCAAAAAGAAAATTAGCTTTTGAAGTTGAAATCGAACGTTACGCAATATAAAAAAAAATATCGGCGTTATAAATGGCACAGAATACAGATCTTGTATCTGGGAAAATTTTAAATTGACGAAAATTTTTTTTTTTTTTCTCATAATTGCTTCTATCATGAAACTTACCAGACAACCAAAGTGGGGTAAATTTTACAAGTATTTTGCTTTGGTTTTGTGTTAACATAGACATCATAACTTGATATATCTTTTTTTTATTTTATTTTATTTTATTTTAGATATTGCTACTACTAACCTTGCAAACTTCGGCACTCAACTTGAGAAAGACGTTCGTGCTGAAGCTGGTGCTCAAGAGCAAGCGTGGGCCGACCCTTCTACCAAGGTCGGTCATGAAGCGTAAGTATTGTTTTTCAATTCGATATGATGGATAAAATCATTAATTTTATATTTGTATATTTGATAGTGGTCTTTGGATATGGCGCATAGAAAAATTTCACGTTGTACCAGTGCCAAAAAATGATTATGGACATTTTTATTCTGGTATGTTGTATAAAAATTTGTTTTTGTTTGCATTATCTCACTTATTTTTACTATATATGTTGTTTTTATATTATAGGTGACAGTTACATTGTTCTTCATGTAAGGCATTTAATTATATTTATAATTATTTTAATAAACCATTGTTTATTTTTTTTTTGTATTGCATAATAGTCTTACAAGAAGAATGATAAAACTGAAGCGTTAGCCCATGATATTCATTATTGGCTCGGATTAGATAGCAGTCAAGTAAAAAAATTCGGAAATATATTTTATTTTTATATATATATATCAAAAAAAAAAAAAATACTAATAAAAATCTCAATTAGGATGAAGTTGGAACTGCTGCATACAAGACTGTTGAGCTAGATGATTGTAAGTTTAGTCATACTAAGGTCTTTATGATGATTTTCTATGTATTTATTTGGTTGATTATTCGCATATTTAGTTCTCGGAACTTCTCCAGTTCAACATCGTGAGGTAACTTTAATGAACTTTGTTTCATGTATTTCATTTTAGTTTTCTAATTTAACTTTTTGTCACCTTTATAAGGTTCAAGATTGTGAATCAAACTTGTTCCTTTCCTATTTCAAACAATTTCAAGTTGAAGATGGAGGAATAGAGTCAGGATTTAATCGTCTTAAACCAGTTGAATATCGCCATCGTTTACTTAAATTAAAACAAATTAAACGTACAGTGGTAATTAGAGAAGTACTAAAAGATTATACATCTTTGAATAGTGGAGATGTGTTTATATTAGATGTTGGAACAACTCTTTATCAATTAAATGGTAAACATTCTCAAGGTTCTGAGAGAATTAAAGCTGCTGAATTTGTTAGGGCTATCGAAGGCGAAAGACAAGGGGCTTGCAAGATTATCGTAATTGGTAATAGATTTTTTTTTTTTTCCTTTTCAAAAGAAATTTTACGACTCTTAATTGATTTTGCTTTTGAATTTTCAGATGAAGGAGATAGAGAAATGGGTAGCTTCTGGGATGCACTCGGTAGTAAAGGCGATATTAAACCTGCTGATGAAGATACCGCTGAAGATATTACTAAAATTGAACATAAACTCTTCAGGTATTTACTTTATTATACTCCTTTTCAGTTAGAAAGGATAAAATAAAATATTGATTAAATTTTTTATGCTTAAAGAGTAAGTGATTCTTCTGGCGAATTGACTTTCAAGGAAGAAGCTACTGGTACAATTACCAGGGATCAGTTTGATACTAATGATGTATTTGTTTTTGATGCGGGTCATGAAGGTACGTTTGAAGAAAGTTTATATTAATTTTATCGAAAATGATTTATTAACAATGATGTATTATAGTTTTCGTTTGGATCGGTAAAAATTCTACTGTTAAAGAAAAAAAATATTCTTTACAATACGCTCAGGTAATATAAATAACAATGACACCGCATATAATCAAAATTTTTATTAATTGTTACATTATTTTTTTCATATAGGATTATATTCAAAAATACAATCGACCTGCCTATCTTCCTATTACTCGTGTGATGGAAGGTGGAGAAAATGAAACTTTTGAATCTGCTTTAATAATTGTTTCGACTGTTTGTTAATTATTAGTTTATTTAAAAAATTATTGTTATTATTCTAATTAAATTAAATAGCTCGTGTTCGATAAAAATAAAAAAATTTTTTTTTATATTATAAGCGTATAAGGAAAGTCTTGAATATATTTTTTAACAGTTTTATTCATCAATCGTTGATTAAGTTTATCGATAAATTTGGTAAATCCATATTTTGCGGATTTTTTCACGACTACATACTTTTCAATAGAAGAATGGTAAATCTTGTTTTATAGACATTAAAATGCGTCTGTTTTTTGAGTATTCCTTAGTTCAATAAATATCCGATCTAAAATTAATTTCCGACAAAATAAAAAAAAAATCTCTCGATTATAAGTTTTAAGTCAAGTCGAGACCTTGCATCCAATTTCGAAGAATGATTTTTTTTTTTTTTTAAAAAAAAAAAACGAGTCCATTAATGCAAAGTTCTTTCTCTCTCTATCATGAAATCCCAAACCCCTGTTTTTATTTTTCAGTTAAAAAAGGCGATTTCCTTAAAAGTTACACGAAAGGATGATTTTCATATTTTATAACATCTCTTGTGAATACATTTTAAATAAATGAATTGAAAATATATATGATTTTAACAAAAAATAATAATAATAATTATACAATAAAATAAATGTTTCTTTAACGTTACCGTTACTAATTAAAAAAAAATGATAAAATATATTGTTCTAAAGTAAATGCTGTACTATAAGATCGACGAATAGATCCATGCTATAAATAATTAAGGTATTCACCCTCTGATAACACCACCAAAAGCATACATGATCATTTAATAATATCAAGGAAAAATTAGTTCAAAGATACGATGTAATTTCAACTTTACAAAAGAACATTTCATGTCTTTATTTAAATTTATTAATTTATAGTTTTCACATCGAATTGAAAAATTGAAATTGAATATAGATATCATGGCAAATATATAACAATAGATATAGCATCAATGGATTTTTTCAAAATTTCATTAAAGAATTCCCCAAAGAAGCCTAAATGGATCGTTGACTTTGGCTCGTGAGAATTTTTTGTTCGTGACACGTTGGCAGTTTTTCTTAATACAATGCACAAAAAAATCGTGTAACCATATGGGACTTTGCAATAGAAACTGCCGGAAAAAAATCGACTTTTGCCAAATATGATTTTTAGGCCAAAACATGTTCAGATTTTTAACCTCATTTTTTATTTTTTCCCCTTTACGATTGTCAAAGGCTCCATAAAATTCGTCAAAAATGACGATTGATTTCTTTAAATTGTTTAACAAATTTTAGGTTGTTAACGAACAAGTTTTACTTATTTTGGGAAAATTCATTTAGAATGCAAGACGTGGTTATGATTTACAAGTGATTTATGATGTAATTATTATAGTTATTTCATTTGTATGACCAATCGAGTTATTTTACTTTTGTAACACTACATCTACTGTAATTGCTAATTGTTGGATGGGTATATTTTTTTTTTTTACCAGAAATAAATAACGAGACAATTTGGGTACGATACTCTTTTCATTTTTTTTAATGTAATTTAAAAATGTCTGAAGGAAAAAATCTTTTTAGACAAATAGAAATTCCTATCTCAGAGGATGGAGTAAGAAATTAAAGACTTTCAAATGTTCAAAATGTACTTTTTCAATAAATTGAATTTTTCACAAAATTAATTATATCAATTCTTTGTACAAGGAATTATCCGAAAAATCAAATAATCGAAAAGAACAGAGTAGAAGTACGATAATAGATACAATTTTAGGACGACCTAATTTTTCAGCAACATCACTTCATAATGATTTGGACGAGCATTTAGAAAAATTTGAAATTATCAAACTACAAGTGGAAGCGCATCGTACTTTAAATTTAATAAATGTAGAAGATCAAAATTTATATAATAAAATGGATGAATGGGTGAAAAGTAATCCTGGTGTTACTTTGGAGACAACTATTTTGAAATTTGGTGAGTGAAAATAATTGTGAAAAATGAAAAAAAAAAAAAAAAAATTTATAACTATATTTACGAAAATAAAAATACCTTTTTTTAGATCCGGAGAAATATCCTAATTCTGATGCGCTTGCAAAAGTAATTTATGATTATCCATTCCCAGATTTCATTTTAAAATATGAGAATGATAAAGTCAAACACCTATATGATCATGAAAATAATGAGAAATACGAGATTCGAGCCATGAAACGTCAAAACTTTGAACGTTTGCTTCTTCGTGCTGGATTGTTTCTAGAACACGAAATTGATACAGAAGGAGATAATACTTATGTTAAAGTTATTGCTCCATTCGAGAGATTATGTGAGCAAGCTCAACAAACTAAAATTAAACTTCGTTTTAACGTAAGTGAAAATTTTAAAAAGCGCACTTTTATATTTTCATTAACTTTATTCATATTGATATTTATTTTTAGGATGATAGTTTACCTGAGGATTTATCAATGTTTGATATATGTCGTCGCAAAACTATATTTTCTAGATTCAAAGAATTTTTTTCATATAAAATAGATCTTAAAAAAGAGTCATCCTTTTTCAAAAAGGATCGTTTGAGAAAGTTTAAAGGAGCAGAAGCTAATAAAAATATAGCAGAAATTTCATTGAATTTCTTTACTTGTTCAATAAGAAATTTATTGGTTCATAGAATGATAATTACAGCTAATCAGATTAATAAAAAAGTGACATTAGCTAATGGTCGGGTGATATATGTTAAAAGAAAAATAGATGCTTTAGCGATTAGCAAACTTCTTAAGGCTCATGTTTATGATAAGTTTTATCCTATTCACGATGGTTCTCCAAAAATTAAGCGTGGTTCAGTTACGTCTCCTGAAGAAATTGAAAAATATAATTTAAGAGCTCAATTAAACGAATTATGGGTTAAAAGTCGAACGAAACAACCAATAGAAAAAATAAGAGAATATTTCGGTGAAAAATTTGCTTTATACTTTGTTTGGTTAGGTGGTTATTTTTAATCATTTGATATCTTTGAATTTTTGTAACTATGAAAAAATAAGTACTAAATTGTATTTATCGACTATTTATAGGCTTTTATACGTCATGGTTGTCAATAGCAAGTGTTGCAGGTTTGACTGTAGTTCTTTATGGAGTAATTGACGCGGAAATGTACAATATCTATTTGTTGTAAATAAAATTTTTGATTTTATTTTCGTTTATAACCTTTTTTTTATTATTATTTTAGCGGAACGAATTTGAACGATTTACAAGGCGCTTCAAAAATTTGGGATAACGCGCTTACGGCACCGTATGCATTCCTAATGGCAATTTGGGCTACTTGTTTCTTAGAATCATGGAAAAGAGCCAACGCCTCAATACAATACGATTGGGACGTGATTGACTTCGAAAGAGAAGAACTTCCAAGACCTGAATTTTATGGAACTAGTAAGTTAATAATTTCAAGAATAAATATATACAGAAAAATTATTAATACATATTGTTTTTTCTTTATAGCGCTCCGTGTATCCCCCGTTACTTTGAAAAAAGAGATCCATTTTCCTTTTAAAGAGAAATTAACTAAATTATTAATTTCCGGAGCAATAGTTTTAATTTCGGTATTTGAAGATTTCAAATCTGGTGATATCCATAAATTTACAAGTAAATATTTTTTAATTTGAATTATTTTTTTTTTAGATAGGAATCGTAATCGTAACTGTAGGAGTGTTAATAATTTTCCCAAGTCAATTAAACGTTAGTCCTCCAAAGCTTAGAACTGTAATTACAGCTTCTGTAAATCTGGCAACCATTATTATATTGAACATGGTAATAAATTTTAATTTCTTTAAAAAAAAAATTTTTTTTTCTAAAAATTATAAGGACGGAATGAATCGTTTTCTAAGTTTATTATTTTTTATTAGATATACAGACATGTGGCAAGATATCTTACGAATTTTGAAAATCATAAAACTCAAACTCAGTTCGAAGGTATGTGATTATTCTGTAACTTTCACCATATTCAAACTTCTTTATTAAATATATGCCGTTTTAAAAAATTTCAGATTCATTGATTCTTAAGGCATACCTTTTTGATTTTGTCAATTTTTATTCGTCTTTAATTTACATTTTGTTGTTTAAGAAAAATGTAAGTAGATTTCTTGATAAATAATTTCGATAGAGAATGTGTTAAAATTAATAAATAATTTTTAATTTAAGTGCGAGGTATACGTAACCTGTATGAATGAACTTACAATTCAACTCGCAATTATTTTTGTCGGTAAACAAATGATTGGACAAGGTCAAGAGGTTTTAATTCCGTATGTATACACTTTTGCCTTAATTATGTTTAAAGAGGTAGAGAATCTTTTGCTAATGTAAATAAATTTCATCTTTGAAGATGGATAATGAGTAAATGGTATAAAACTAAAAATATAGCGGAACGAGACGAATTGGAGAAAAAATATGCAGAATCTAATAGAAAACATACGAACGTACCGCAATGGGTATATGATGATCGTTTAGCTACGTCTTCGGAAACCATTAGGACCGAATATGAAGAAATTGTAGTTCAATTTGGGTTTGTTACATTATTTGGTACAGCTTTTCCATTAGCTCCATTATTTGCTTGGATAAACAATATGACTGAGATAAGATTTGATGCGTTTAAGGTATATGAATCTCAAGAAGTTTGTTCTTTATTTATTTAGTTATTAGAATTATTAATACCTTTTTTTTTTATCTGAAAACCTCTTTCGATAGTATATTCAGACATTACAAAGACCAGTTGGATTTCAAACGCAAGATTTGGGAATGTGGGAAAAAATTATGTCCATAGTATCATTAATATCTGTATTGACAAATGCAGTAATTATAGCATTTCATTCATCATGGATGCATGCTCAATTTGACAAATATACAAAGAATCCTGAAGAGCTATTAGTTGCCAGACTTGGTTTTGTTCTTGCTTTTGAGGTAAATAACATCATTTAATTTCGTTAATTGAAAAAAATGTTTTAAATCAACTAATCTAATAATTATAAAATATATAGCATCTCGTATTTATCATTAAATTAATATTTGCGTATATGATACCGGACGTACCAAGAACAGTTAAAATTGCAATGGAGAGGGAACGTTATCTTACTAGACTGGCGTTGGATGGGGATCCACCTGCGTTAGATGAATATTGGAGTGATGATAAAGATGATGCTTCTTTATTTTCTGTAAAAGGATCTTTATTGTTACCTTCCAATACTGTCACTGGAGGTAATATTGTTAAATAGACATATGAAATTATAGAACGTTATGGAGGTTACTTTATGGGAAGCAAAGAGGGGGGTTTTTTTTTTCGTGTTGAACTTTAATACTATTTAAATTATTTAAACCTTTTAATCTTTTGCTTAGATAATTTATTATTATAAAATAATATATAAAGATTATTATAAAGATAAAACTATCGTAAAAAGAACTTAAATAAAATACAAATGCCAAAATAACAAATACATGCAATGTAAAATAAATAAAACGGTTGAAATTGTTCATTATGATTTGTGAAGGGATTTGGATGCAGGTTGATATTATTTTTTAATTACACGTTCAAAGAGTTAAAAACTTCTCACTTTTTGATAACTTGAAATACCTCATATTCTATAACCCAAAATTTGGATAAAGTCGTAACCCTATCTTGATAATCGTCCTTATCAGAAGAACAACTATCATAAGCATTAAAATTATGTTTCATCCATAAATCTTTATCACCGAAACAAGGACCGTGAGTTTTGTCTTTTACACGTATGGCATAACCAGGCCTGTTTACCCTAGATAGTTTGGCATCAGCGATGTTACCTTGTTTAGGAAAGCTAAATAAGAAACTATTTTGTGTCGTAATTCTAGAATCTCCGGTCGACCATTCGATAGGATTATAACCACCAACCAATTCTCCCGAATAAGCTATCTGCATTACAACAATTGTTGGACCCTTATGATCACATTTTTCATGAAAAGTTTCCGATTCAAACCCATCTTTCGTACCCCGGATTAACAATCTAAATTTATAAGGAACGTTTTCAAATGTATATGGTTTACCATCTTTTCTATCTATCCAATCACATAACCTCGCCACATGTTCTTGTTTAATCAATGTTGAATCAAATGAAATGACCCTTGGTTTACTTAACCAATTTTGTGGTTTAACAACTCCCGATTTTAAATAATATTTCATCAAATCTTCCTTTAAATCTTTTGGTAAAATTGATTGATAAGGGTAAACTTTATCATAAAATTCACTTGAGGAGATTTCAAAAAATCTTATTAAAGGTATGCAATTTTTTAAAATCCTTTGCAATTCTTTAAAATCTTTCTTCTCCCACTTTGAAACATCTTTTGAAGGGGGACAAGATGATGATTGATCCATTTGAGAAATACCCCATTGAATCAAATGATCCCATACTTCAATCTCTTCGCTTTGTAAATCATCCCTAGATAATAATGGTAATAATAATGATTCCTCAAATGTTGAAAAATCATCCGATTTAAACACCAATAAAGGATTTTTACAAATTGTTTCTAAACAAAAATTTTGCAATTTTTGACAACCTTCATGTGAATTGATCGTACGATGAACTTTGACTACATTCTTTTTAATCCATTCCTTTTTGTTGGTTAATAAATAAGATTGTACATGATTAAACAATTCTTGTAATAATAATTCATCAGATGCAATGAGTAATTCAAGTATATCAGAAGTATCCTTGCTATTTAGATCTATATCTCCTGAATATATGTATCTTTGGGAAGGGGAAATAAAAAAGTAGATATCAGTTTTTGTGGCTGTGTGAAAAAAGGGAACGCGAAGCCACCCCGTGATTCGGCCTTGGATTAGGACCTTGTCTTTTTAACTTACTTTAGAATAATTTCAAAGACGGTAGGGGTAACATTTGGTTTGGTGAACATTATAGAACCACCTTCTTTTCTCGCCCAATCACTTGATAATGCTGTTTTAAAATATGGTGACCTCGCCCTAAGAATAACTGAGTGTGCTCGAAACGCTTTTTCTTCTTCCCCTACTCTAATAACAACGTTATAATCATCCGAATTATCAAGTAACGCAATAAAATCATTTGAAAGGTTTTTATAAAATTCTGACATCTTTTAACTGTTTTTTACAAAATGAGTGAGAAGGAAAGAAATTTTTTTTTTGCTTTTTTTTTCTTTTTTTTTAAAAATAAAAAAAAAAAAAAAGAAAAAGGTTATTAAAGAGTTGATAGGTGAAGTGGAAGGGGAATGATCAATAATGGTCAATGATGTGCAACTTTATATAACGGAAGATGATCGACAAGAGACGATGATCCGACAAATGATTTATCATTCCGAATATCGGAATCAAGACATTGTTTTCCCTTTTTTGCATGAAATTATATTATTCACACCTCGTATTACATCAATATTGAAACAACGGTAATTGTTAATGATTTAATTAATATAAAAAAAAAAAAAAAAAAAAAAAAAAAAAAAAAAGGGTATGACTAATTTAGTTGATCTTTTTAAGTTTTGAAAGAACCGCAGAAGTCCGACGTACGTTTATGCACCTCAATAAAAAAAAAAAAATTATATAATTGGATTATGGATTTCTCTTTCGTCCAGGAGTTGAAAAATAAATCTAACCATTTTTGTTTTGATCATGAAGAAAATATTTAAAAGGGGTTCGGTCCTTAATCGGATTTACAAATTATGAATGAATTATGAATGAAGAAAAAAGTGTTTAAATTAATTAATTTCCAAAAAAAGATTCTCGTAGTACAACATTCTAAATTGGACGGATCATATAATATGTGCATCAAGGGCAAAATAACAAAACTCAAAAATAGTATCGTTCTTATACGATCACGTGCTATTTTCTTGTACGATCAGATATGCGTCTTTTTTAACAAAAAAATTTCAAAACTCGTGAAGTGATATTTTACTAAAGCGCGTTTAATCACTTTTATATTTTTTTATTTTAATTTTTCTTTGTTCAAACAAAACTTTATCACCTTTAAATTTTTTTGTTTTAATTCAAACAGAAACTTGTGTTATTACTTTATATTTTGTTTTAAATTTTTATGACTTTATTTTAAATTTCATATATTTTATAATAAAAAAATCTTATTTTCAAATTTTATTATGAAAGGGTTTGAAAATTTAACTCAATATAATGATGATGATACTGTAAATGTACCTTTTGGTAATGTTGCTGAATGGTATATTATAAATCATCCATTATTAAAAAATATTCACTTAAAATGTCAAACGCGAAGAGAAATTAATTAAAGCAGATATTATTGATGTAAGTCGAGTGGAAGGTGTTATTGATTTTATTGAATAGAACACAAAAAAAGGTGATACATAATCAACAAATAGAATTGATGATATTATTAAATTAACTTCAAAAGGAGAAAAATATGTTAAACAAATAGAGACAAAAGAAAAAAAGGATAAATTGTGTTGGTCTTGGATTATGTTTTGTTCAGGAGAAGGAAATTGTGAACATGAATGTAAGGGAATTAGTAGTTATAAAGAAGCATGTACAAATTATTCTCTTCAAAATAATTTAAAAAATTATCACAATATGCATTTGTGTAAAGTTTGTGTAATTTCTGAATCAAGACTTTCCTGGTTAAATAAAGAAAAACCTCTTAAAATCAAAATTGTTGGGTCACAACTACCAATAAACGTTCTTATATCACACAATCCAAGTGTTTTAAGGTTAAATTTATCAAGACAAGTTAGAGATCATATTATAGTTAATCGTAGGTCAGATCATCATACAGCCAATTCTATTAAATCAAAATTATTAATGCCCTTTAATGGAGCAGAAGAAAATGAATTAAAGGAAGCATTAAAAAATCAACGTCAAATATGTAATAATAATAAACTTAGATCTTACTTAATGCATGATGATCAAAGATTAGGAGAAAATTCAGGTCTGTAAACTATATTATATTATTTGGTTATAGAAGTTTTAAAACTAAAAGGATATATTTTATATTATCAACAACCTGATCCTTTACAATCTGAAGAGGAAAAACAATTTTATCAACTTACTTTATCTAATGAATTCTGGCTAAGAAATGGCAAAAAATTTGGTCAAAATTGTATTGGAATGGATTCAAAACATGATTTAAATAATGATAGGACTCCAGTATTGGTATTAGTTACTGAAAATAACAGTGATTCTGGAACACCACTTGCTTTTGGTAAGAAAATTATTGAAAATTCAAAAAAATTAGAATATTTGTTTATATTTCGCTAAAAATAAAAAAAATTAGTATTAAATAAGTAAATTAAAGAAGCAATTTAATGAATTAAAATATGTATTTATTTAATAAGCAAATTAAAGAAGCAATTTAATAAATTAAAAATATATAATAATAATAAATGTATTTATTTATTATTTTAGGAATAAGTAATAAAGAAAACTAATGGACAATAAAATTATCGATAGTAACAATAAAAACGAATATTCCATGTGATCAAGATAATTGTGAACATAAATGGAGTTACTGTATATTGATTTGCCAAATAGTAAAGGATTTAAAAGAATAAGAGAATGCAATTCTTTTAATTGGAATCCTTTAGTTATGATAGATAAGCATAGGCCATCAAAAATGTTGTAGATAATAATTTATATGAAATCATATTATATTGGTTCTATATAATACATATAATTGGTAAAAATTTTAATCATTAAAATGTTCCATGGCCATTACGGTAAATATATATAAAAATTTTGCTTTGAATTTTTTTTTATTTGATATCGTTTTTACTTTATAAATTCAAAATTAACTAATTAAATTTAAATTTTATAATTAGATATTCTTTAGCATTAGCTTTTAAAATAATTGGACGAAGTAGAACTGAAAATGAATCTAAAGAACTTGGTTTACTTTATAAGGATTTTGTTAATTCACTAGAATTATCAGATAATATCAAACAAAAATTAATAACTGATTTAAATCGAAATTGGTTATGTGATGAATAGTAATTATCTTTTATTGATGCTGGACGCATTTTACAGAATTTTGAATGCATTATGACTACAAATAACTTTACAGAATGATTAAATCAAACAATAGAAGCAAATTATAGTGGAGTTCAAACTATTGTAAATTTTGTAGAACGTTTATATGGAGTGAAATTAAAAAGAGAAAATTTAATTGAAAATAGTGAATAATTTCAGGGTTAGCAACATTATTTGATATGAAGTCAATTGAAAAAGCAAGTATTATCATTGTCTTTTTGTTTTTTAAATGTTTAAACTTTTAAACTAAATATATAATATTAATAAGGAAAATTGTTCAAAAAAATTATCATCTGATAAACTTCGAAGACTTAATGATGATTATTTTTATGTTCGAAAGTTTGATAATATTCAAATAATAGACTCATTATTTGATAGTAAATCTATCAAATTAAGTGAGGAAATAACAGATAATTTACAACCTTTATTAAAAAAATGAAACAAAAATATCTGGATAAAGTTTCACATCGAGAAGGATATTATTTAACAAATATTTTAACAGGTGAATGTATTTATTATGATTATATTTGGAATGGACCATTTCGAGATGTTTGTAAATATATTCATGCAGTACGTCTTTTTCGTAATGCTAATTTACATTCAGATAAGGAATTATTTTTTAAACAAATAAAATATCTTGTTACTTATTTTAAAAACAAAGAAAGAGTAATTCCTGCTGAAAATAAAAATAGATTAATATATGAAGGAAATACTGATATGAAATAATCAGACTCTATTATTTACAAAGTAAAGAATTTTTTTTATTTTAATTTATATTTTAATTTAATGATTATATTGTATTTATTAAAAATTTAGGAGGATTGGTATTTTCGCCAAAAGATAATATTTCTGAATGTAATTCAGATCCTTTTAGACCACCAGAATTGAAACATAAAACTAATAAAGGAGCATCACCAAAAGCTGTGACAAAACTACATAAACCATCACGGATTCTTCAAACCCTTCAATCAAATTCTCAAAATGAAACCAATCCTTTTGTTTCAGAAAAAAGAAATACTAAAAGAGCAAGAAAAAATCTCCGAAATACAAAAATATATTCCCAATTATTTATTTTACAGTAATTTATTATTTATATAAATAAATTTTATTTTATTTAGGAACAAACCAAAGAAGAAATTTCTTATAATTCTACAATAACTTAATCTTATCATGATACAAGCAATTTAATTCATAACAAAAACTCTAATATTGTATCTATTTATTCAAATATGAATCAACATGAATTATATCCTTTCACTAAGGGTTCGGGCGAAACCTGATAATTACGTCCAATCTGAATCTGAAAACTAGGCGATATTAGTTACGCCTCAACAAAAAATTTCCGAAATGTCCGATTGAGTCTGATATTGCTCAAATCCGAAATTCAATCCGAATTAATTGAAATTCTCCAAAACTTAATTATTCACATGAAAATCAAATATATAACATTATTGGTAAGACAAACATTAATGCATTCGCATCTTACAAAATGGAGGCTAATTCAA